GATTGCCCCCCATATCATTACTGCATGCCCTTCTTTGATTCACAGTACAGTCTGTTTTAAAGTCTATTTTGTCTGATGTCAGTACTGCTATTCCAGCTTTCTTTTGGTTTCCATTCACATGAAATATCTTTTCATCTGTTTCCTTTCAGTCCATGTATGTCTTTACATTTGAAATGAATCTTTTGAAGGCAGCATATAGGTGGGTCTTTGTGATTTTTTTTTAATCTATGAATTAATTTGCCTTTTGGAGAATTAGGTTCATTTATACTTAAAGTTATTTTTGATAGGTATGTACTTACTGCTATTTTGATAATTATGTTCTGGCTGTTTTATAGTTTCTGTTCTCTTGCTCTCTTTTTGGTTTGTGACTTTCTTCAGTGGAATACTTGTATTTCTTCCTGATTATCTTTTGTCTATTATAGGTTTTTGCTTTATGGTTATCATGAGTTGATAGCAGCTTATGTTTTAAGGCATTCTAAAGCTTTTTATTTTCTCTCCTCCAAGTCTCTTTTTATTGGTGCTTTTAGCCCATTTGAACTTAGTGTAGTTATGTTCGGGCTTAAGTCTACCATTTATTTGTTTTCAGTTTTCTATCTCCTCTATCCCTGTGAGATAGTTGAAAATAATTTTTTTTTATTAATAGTGTTTTTTAATTTTTCTTTTGCATAACTTTTTTTAGTATTTGCTATAGGTATTACATATATTCATAACTTAGCAGTCTACTAGTGTTATCATTTACCAAGTCTAGTAAAGTATAAACACCTTAACATCCCTTTGTCCTCAGTCATTTAAAAGATAATTGTTTTAAATATTACTACCACCACAATTTTGAACCACATTAGACTGTTTCAGACTTCAAAACAGATGCAAAAATAATTTTAGAAAACTGAAGTTTTCTAAACTCATGTTTTTTTTAATGTTCATTCATCCTTCCTGATGTTCCAAGTTTTCTTCTTTTTATCATTTCCTTTCTGTTCAGAAAAGCATTTCATCACTCTTGTAGAGCTGGTCTGCAGATGATTAAGTCCCTTGGTTTTCCTTCACCTGAGAATGTCTCTATTTCTCTTCATTCCTGAAGAATATTTTCATATGGTGTAGGAAGCTGCGTTCAGAGATTTTTCTTTCAGCACCTGAAAAATATGGTACTTCCTCCTGGCCTTCACAGTGCTGAGAAATCCACAATAGTCAGTCAAATTACTATTGCAATAGGTAAGATGCCATTTTTCTTTTGCTGCTACAAAAATTTTTTGTCTTTCATTTTTAGAAATTTCATTATTATGTACCTCGGCATGGATTTCTTTGGGTTTATCTGGTTTAGGGTATGCTTGGCTTCTTAAATCTGTAGGTTTATGTTTCTTGCCAAATTTGGAGAGTTTTCAGCCATTATTTGGTTGAGTGCTTTTTTAGGCTCCCCCTTTTTTTTCTTCCCTCTGGAACTCTAGTGACACAAAATTTTGATCATTTGTCATAGTCCCATAGTTTCCTGAGACGATTCAATTTGCTTTAGTCTATTTTTTGTTTCTGTTGTTCAGATTGTGTATTTCCACTGTTCTTTCAGTTTGTGGATTTTGTCTCTTTCCTGGCAAATCTGCTGTTGAGACCGTCCGCTGAGATTATAACATTGCTAATTATATTTTCAGGCACAGCCTTGTTACTGCTGGGAGATGGTGAGAATCCCCCACCAGACCTCTTCTGACACCACCCCAAGGGGAGTGTTGGGACAGCATGTTGCAATCTGGTAAGGCTGGAAGTCGAGGCTCGCCACTCAGCTTCTGCTGGCCTGTCTACGAGTGGGCTGGTTTCTTTCTGTGGAAAACAGTCTGTGGCTGGAATAGAGCAGTGAGTGTCTGAAGCTTTGTCTGCGAGGCTGCGCCTCTATTGGTATTTCGACTTGGGAGAACAGGCTTTTGTTTGGGTTTTATCTGTGTCCACTGGTGTTTCTGCCAGGAATTTTCATTGTACTTAAGAAGAATAGAGAAAAGTATGCTTACTTGATCTTCCTGGAAGTAGAAGTTCTAGTTTACTTTTGATAGCCATTGTCAAATTGTTCATTCTTATGTGTAGTATAAACATTATTTTTCACTTTTTAAAAAAGATTTATTGTAATTTTATTTATACAATAGCTGGGGAACAGTTCAGAGGTGCGGGAGGGAGAGTGAGAGGATTGACCAGAGACAGAGTAGGGAGCAGAACAGGCAGACGGACTGAAGACACTGCTGACAGGAGCAGCGGACGAGGCAGGAGAGGTCTGCTGCACCATGTGGGAATCTCCCTGGCTGGCCGGGAATTGAACCCGCGCTGTAGAGGCTGCAGACAGCTTCACAGTGCTGCGTTCAAACCGCCTCACCACCAGAGATGCCCTCACTTTTTTAATGGTGTTTTTTGCTATGTAGAAATGTTTGATTTTATAGTTGAATATATTAATATTTAAAAAAGGAATTAAGAGTCTCATGCTTGGAAAGGCCTTTGTCATACTACAATTATGAAAAAGTGTCTCCTATTCTAACTTTGTTGGGGTTTTATTTTTTACATTTAAATATGTGAGCCATCTGGCATTAACTCTGGTATAAGTAGCAAAGTTATCTTCTTGTACGGCTCCCCCTGTTGTCTCATCTTGATTCGTTGGCTATGGTGTTAAGGAAATTCATTTAGTTAGTAAATGCTTGTTTATAAGCGTTCCTGACAGAGGCATCCTGAAATAAGAATTCAGAGTCCAAGGGGCTGCGTTGCACACTGGATACTTCAACCCATGTCGCTCCCTGGGTATTAGTTGATGACAACTAGTGCTGCATGAGGCACACAGGTTGAGCTGCATGACGTACCAAAAGGTCTGCTCGTCTCTGTTCAGGTGGCAGCTAGATACCCTCTAGGTTTAGGAAGCCGGAAATGATGAGCCAAGGCTGACAAGACAGTGTTTTGGGCTGCCCTGGGAGGAATTCCAGTCTGCAAAGTTCTGTGTCCTCATCAGCCTGGTCACTGCAGAAGGGGGATCTCTCTCAACCTAAAGGAGAGGACTTGGAAAGGCCCCCCAGCTGACCCAGGAACTGGGGCATTACTTCACAGCACATCTGTGAAGAGGGGCTAACTGCTGAGGACATGGGGAATGTGACAGAAATGGGCTTGACAGGAAAGAGAAGACTGTGTGGAAGAGGCCTCGTGAGGGTCTACCTCACACTGCACTCTAAGACAAAAAGCAGCAGCAGTGCCTGACACAACTGCTATTCCTGCCTCCAGGTATTGAGGAGACCAGTGTCTTGAGTCAGAGGGAATGAGGAAAGGCAGGGGTGGAGGCAGTGTGGACGGATGCACCCTTATGTTCACCCCAACTCATTCCTCCTTCCAGTGCTTCATTCTCTCCCTTCCTTTCTACAGTGGTTCCTAGTCAGTGCAGCATTGCAGCGTGGGGCTCAGAAGAGCAGGCCCGGTGCCCAGTGTGCATTGGTCCGTCTCCCCACTCATCAAGCTCCCAAAGCACAGTCAGCACTGCAGTTTTGGGGCCAACTGCGTAAAGCAAGAGTCACAAGTAAGGCTTCTGTGGCACCAAATGGATGATGATGGTGAAAGTGAACCTGTATCGTTTCAAGAGAGGTTAAGTCCAGACCTTTCTCTTCTGGCTGTAAAGTTCCTTCTGGCAAGCAAAGAGTGCCAGATCCAGGCAGCAATGGGGTGTGAGGTTGAGGAACCTTAGTCTGGACTATGGGCCCTCCACAACCAGGCCTTGGTCTACTTTGCCAATTACAATGCGATTTCAGTCCTCTTTCGCATTTGCTGGGTGGCTAAGAAAAAGTAATCTCCCTATTCTCAGGCTGGTTTTCTTCATAAATACACTGGGTATTGGAACAGATCGGCCCTTTTCTTTTTTAAAGCCCTTTAAAAAATGGACTCTAGACTCATGAATGAACTCATGAATAAGTGGGCGGTGCTAGGCAGCTTGGTTGGGGCAGGCATGGGACTAGGGGCTCTGAGGACAATTTGAAGTCATCGGTTCAGCTGGCTTCCAGGGGCCTCCAGCTGACCCTGGGCAGGTATGTGTTTCCCTTTCCTTCTCGGTAACTAGATAATACTCTGAACAGTGTGGGGACTAATGGGATGGCTACCTGTAAGGCTTCCATGGGGCTTGGAATATAGGTACTTGATCAATGGTTTATCAGTGTCATTTGTGCCTTTCCAAGTCCTCTCCTTTAAATGCCAGCCCAGGGCCTCCCCTGGTGGCGCCGTTGGTTGAGCGCCGCGCTGTGAAGCTGTCTGCAGCCTTGGCAGCACCGGTTCGATCCTGGTCGGCCGGCGAGGGTCCCACATGGTGCGGCAGACCTCTCCTGCCTCACCTGCTGCGCCCCTCAGCAGTGTGTTTCTTCAGTCTACCTGTTCTGTTCCCCTCTCTGTCTCTGGTGAATCCTCTCACCCTCCCGCGCATCTGGCCTGTATCCTGGTTCGTGTATAAATAAATAAATCTTTAAAAAAATAAAAAATTAAATGCCAGCCCAGGACCCCCGTCCCTGGCACCCGGCTCTGGGAGCAGCACTCCATCCCTCTGAAGCCCCACAGCCCCAGGGCTGTCTTCTGGGTCTCAAGCACCACTCTGGCCTGTAGCAGTTGTGCACGTGTAAAGCCTAACCTCTACAACCAAACTTAAGTTTCTCAAGGGAGATACTTTTCTTCCATGGCTCTAAATCCCTCTCACTGCCTCATACACAGACACGCAGTGAGTGTCTGTGGGCTGACCCGCCTAGACCAGGAGGCAGAGAGGCGAGAGTTGTAGCCCCGGCCAGGATATGGCCCCCTCTCGGTATTTAGAGAAGATTCTAAGGAGACGGTGAATCTCAGGGCCCTTGCACCTACACAGGGTTTACTATACTGACCAGCCTTGGCAGCTTCCTGTTGAAGAATCCTAGACAGAGCAGAGTTGCCAAAATCATCCCAGCCAGAGCAGGGTATTCACTGTCGACCCAGAGCCAGTATCCCGTCTGTTCAAAACAACCTGCCAAAAACAATCGAGAAATTTCCCAATTCAAAGACTCCAAAAAGCAGGGCGGGTTTCATGTTGCTTCTCATTTATTAATTCAGTCTGTTCTAAGTTGTACAGTTATGAAAATAACAAAACCACAGCTGGAAGCCCAGGAATATTTACACTCTCTCGTGTAGTGAGGTCAGTCCATATTGTTGCACAGATTGGTTATGTTTGGTACCACAAGATGTGTGTAATTCAGACAAAATCGAACAGATTAACAATTATATGTACAGTAAAATAAAGGGGAAGTCATTCAAGTATCAAAATACAGACAACGATTAAATAACATTTTTATTACAATTCAGTCCCAATGCCACACCCTCAGCAACACTTTTGTGAACTGTATCTGACAGTCATTCTGCAGGCCTGGGCACCTCAAAGACAGACCGAGGTCAGACTAGCAATGTCTCAACAGCCACAACCATGCTTGCTGTCTGCTCCACCTGAGCTTGTCAAGGAAATCCCCCAGAATCTGTAGGGCCCATCAGAGTGTGGAGCATGGCACAGGCAGTCTTACTGCTCAGCGGCGCTGGCAGGCAGGAGAGAGGCGAGAGAGAGAGCCCGCTCAGGCGCCGCGGAACGGGCTCCTTCACAGTCCAGAAACGCAGTGAGGGGCTTGCCGCGCTGTGACCTGCTCTCAGGAGCGCAGAAGCAGGGGCTTTCCACTTGGAGCCTGTCCTTAGAGCTCTAACATTCCTCCCTGGGAATGTTACATTCAGAAATAAACCATTCTTAAAACCCAGAGCCAGAGAGACTAACCAAGGCTTTCCAATATGAAAACACCCTGAATAAATAAAGACGATATAGCAGCTTCAAGGGGAGGAAATACCTACTCTGACTTAAAAAGACAGCTTGAGGAGCTCATTGTAGTGTTTACAGTTTTCCTTGGACCTACCACCTACCCAGAGAGGCTACTTGGAGGAAACTGGCCTTCCTCAGGCAGAAGGAAGGGCCCCCGCATGAGCACCGCCACCTCAGCACAGCTGACCCACCCCCTCAGCTTCCTGCGGGGAGCAGGGGCTGGATACTGCACTGTAAGCTGATCCTTACCGGGGTCCTTACGGGTTCTGGAAGAAGCAGGAAGGGAAGTCAAACCTGCAGTGTGGAGGTCCTGGTTTAGTACCAAAAAGCTGGAGGATCACTGGTCTCCACTCCAGAGGGGAGTTGATGCCCAGGCCCAGCCTCAAGGCAGCAGGAAGACACAGTCCTGCTTTCCATTTTTGGTCAACCATAGGGGTTGCAAACGTGCCTAAGGACGTGCTGCGCCCTGCCCACACAGACTAGCAGAGAATTTCCATTCACAACCTGTCTCTTTCAACCTTTAAAGAGAAGCCCTGCTGAAGCCTAGAATATTTACTTAAGGACTAGGCAGCCGTGCCAGCTGAGCAAGAGGCTGCTCAATCACCCCTGGGGGCACATGCTCCCCTCTTACCCATTTCGGATGGGACCGAACGAACAGCTGAGCCAACTGCCCTCAGCTTCCCTGGAACTATTAGCCCCCTCGTTTCTACTACACCCCGGGAGGAAAAACGCAACCAAAGCAAGAACACGAAGCAAGTCAGCAGGAGGTGTAGGTGGCAGCAGGACACCAGCCTGCCCCAAAGGCCGTGCTGGGGGAGAAGCCAATGGACCGTCGCCTCAGTTAGCTTTCTCAATACTTGGAGCCAGGGATGAGCCCAGTTGCGGGAAATACAAATTAAACCAATAATTCAGAGAATCCAAATAAGCCCTGATCACGCAGACCTGATCAGACAAATCTCAAACTGGCAGGTAGGTATCGTAGCTGACCCACCCATTAATGCCCCAAACAAAGCTGCTTTTTCACCTTTCTGACTCAGCCTGGGCATCTGGCGTCCCCAGGGCCTGTGGGCCGGGTGGCTGCCAGCCGTGCTGTGGCCACTGAGCCACGGGCACCAGCTTAGACATCACGGCACCATGAATTGCTTGCTCATCTCTGTCTGGCCCTGGGGACTTCACGTTTGGAAGCCCAGAAGTGACCTGGCAGCCCCTGCTTTTGCTAGGTGCCTTGAAGGCTGGGCCCAGCTCTAGACAGGCACAGGACACTGGCATTTCCTAAGGAACAACAGCTCTTGAACGCACCCAGCCGTCAGTTTTGCCCTTGCCCCTGTTCCTTCGCCTCACCCACAGGCTACGGCCTTCTCCTCAGGCTGACGGGACCACCCCCAGATGCCATCCTGAGGCCAGCGGGCTGCACTGACTGCCTTTTGGCCAAACTCAAGTTGCCATCCTGTGACCCTATGGCCATTTGTCTAGACTGGCAGTTTAACCTAGAGGTTTGAGCCGAGTGTTAAAAGTTCATTTTATAAAAATGTTTTCTTCTACTAAAAAAATGTGTTCCGGACAAGTTACTTCTTGACCCTCTGGAGTTCCAGTCTCATCTGCTAGAGGCCTGGGACGCTTCTCAGCAACCAGGGTAGGACTCGCTTTGCAAGGCCTGGCAGTGGCTGGCCCAGGCCAAGCAGCCAAGAGGAGTCCTCCAGGCAGTGGCTGGGCCTGGGTCTTCAAGCTGCAGGTGAGACAGTGGTGGTGGTGGTGGTGGTGGCGGCGGCAGGAGCCTGTGCTCCCCATGTCTGTGTTTCCGCAGCACAGTTGGTTCCTCCGTGGCTCAGCTTGGCAGAAGCAAACACAACGGGGGAGGAAAGAGTTAACCAGAGGCCCACGCCGGGTGGAGGAAACTGAAAGGAAACTGGAAGCAGACAGAAGGTCCCCACAGCCTCCCCGGAGCTCCCTCCACGGCCTGCTTCAGGCACCCACTGCCGTCTCTGGCTCAGCGCGTCCGCTCAGGAAGGCACGAGGACAGGTAGGCGAGCAGAAGGACCCACCCTGTTTATCAACTGGTTTCAACTCTAGAATAATTGCTGTGACTTACTGGCTTTACTACTGGACTATGCTAGGCCTGCATTGCCGCTTGCTGGGCCTGCCGCTGTCCTGTCTCCTGCCACCTAAGCTCCTCCGCCCACTCCGAGAATTCGGGGCTTCTTCAAAGCCGCCACTCCATCCCAGCTGCTGACTGCTTTGAGGTGATGGCCTGCACAGCCTCCCCTCTCAGAGGAGTCAAGCGGCAGAGGGCGGTTGAACAGGAAGGGGATCAGGTGGTGGCTGACTAGCTTTGCTCCCCACACTGTAGAGAAGCGTGAGGATGCTCCTGGAGGACAATGGAGGTTGCTCAGTCCAGGTCCCTGTCCTGAAGCAGCTCTGTTCCATGTGGGAAGAGTGTGCACTGTGTGTGCAGGGCACAGGCCTCTGCCTTGCTATGGGAAGGCCTTCTTCCTCAGTGAGCTAGACTCCGGAGCCAGTCTTGTGACTCACTGGCGAAGACATGAGGGGCCAACCACATGCATGCCATCCCGTTCCTTGGAGTAGAAGACCCAGCAGGACCGAGACACCTGCTGAGTGAGGCCAGCCTGCGGTGTTCAGATGCTCAGAACCCATGCTCTGGAGTCATTCATGTGCCGAGGGCCTGGCATAGGTCTTGGGCCCTGACAGAAAGCAGTCTGAGCCTGGTCAAACCATATCACTGAGGTCAGGGTCTCCCAGGGAGGCCAGCACCTTAGAGCAGAAGAGAGAGACAGGGCCGCAGGCAGCTGCGAGCAGAGTGCAAGGGGATTCTGGCACCGGGTGGTCACAGTGGTTGGTTGTGTCGGGAAAGGTGCAGACAGAAAAACAGACTGTGGCTGTGGCTCAGCACAGAACATAGGAAAGGAGAGCCCACAGAGCCCAGCTCAGTCGGAGGGAGCTGTCACAGGTGCCTTTTGGACTCTGCTTGAAGACTCCCCTGACCCCCAGGATTCACAGTGCCTGCCCGCTGAGGCTTCTTGGGTGCCACGGGGCCCTCAGCCCTCTTGGCGTCTACCTCAAAGGCAACTCACCCCCCCAAAGCTGTCCTCACCCAAGGGGGGGATTCACAGTGTCCGGTGGTGTTAGGTACAAGCTGTGAGTGTGCAGTGTCTAGAGCTGCTGCCAGGAGAGCAGGACCCAGTGGGGTGGGGCCTTGGCGTCAGCAGCTGGAAGTAGAGTTGAGAACAGCAGAAAGATCGATCGGATGGCAAGGCACAGTGAGACTAGTGGAGAGAGGGAGTGGGTGGTTAGAAGATAGTGGTCTCATACTTGGTGCTGAGGCTCCGCTTGGAGTCTGGTTTGGGGTCCACAACCCAGGAGACGCTGGCATGAGACTGGGCATCTTGATCTGTATCAGGTGGTTCCAGCTGTCAAGGAAGAAGCGCGTAAAGTCAGAGGGGGGAGACTTGTGCCTGGCCAGGAAACACCAGGGCTAGCTGTCCTCTCCACTCCTCCCCGTTCCACCCACAGGTAATCCTGGCTTTGACTACCCCAAGGAGGATCCTCACTTTCCTTAACTGAAGAGCAAGGTCCCTGGGGTGGCGTGGGAGAGTCACCTCCAGGCCTCCTCAGAATCAATTTCCCCCAGGGATTTCTTGGAGCTACTGGGTTAAAGGAGCATGGCCCTGCCTGAGTGTGGTGCTCTAAGCCCCACACCTGTTCACGGAGGCAAGAGAGGGTACAGAACTTGGAAAGGCCAAGCCTTGGGCCCCTCTGGCAGGGCCTGAGGGCTCACCCTGAGCAAGACCACAGCAGGCACCCCAGACCTCTAGAGAGGGAACACACAGCAGAAAAACAGAGGGCTAAGCACAGACAGGATGGTGGGGGGTGGGGCGCGGCTCAGGAAAGAGGAATGTGGCTCAGGCAGAGGGAGAGGCCACTAGAGTCCAGAACGCTCACGGTCACTTCAGGAAGACTGACACACAGACAGCAGAGGTGTAAAGACCTTGACTCCAGGACTAACAGACGGCAGCGGTAGGTAAGAAGGACGATGGGTGGTGCAGGTGTGACAGTGACAACAGCGACTATCAGGGGGCGGCGGCACCTGGGGTGCAGAGCAAAGCAGACACAGACACGGGGTGACATTACTGGGGGCTCGCCTGCCAGCCATGCTCTCTGCAGCCCCCGATGGCCGTGCCCTGGCGGAGCCTGGTGAGGGAGTGAGGGAGAGCCCGGAGCCCGCGTCAGGGGCTGCTGCCCTCCCAGTGAGGACCTCGGCGGCAGATCTAATGAACGGCCACGGCCTGAAGTATGAGAAGACCCTCCTGTGCTGGCGCCACCCCATGCCCTTGAGACCCTGGGGCCCACGTACTGCTGACTTCCTCATGCCGACCCGAGGCTTAGGCACCGGTTTGGAAGATTTCGTTTCAATCATCTCGGCTGCAGAGGCTCCCATGGGCCTGGACTTCTGGGCCTGCAGGGCCAGTTGATAGGCCACCTCGAACGCCTGCCCCAGCGTCAGGATGATCTCGTAGGTCAGATTCTGGGGAAAGAGCACAATTGAGCAGGTAGGATTGAGGAGCCGCCTCACCCCCTGAGCACAGGCGTAGGTGTCACCGGATAGGTAACAAGAGTACAGTCAATTCTGCTACAGTGCTGGCTTTGAAAACACAAATCTGTCCCGATTTGACTGTATGGTTAGGGAACCATGTGACATAACAAGCTTTTGTGTTTTTTCACACAGGATTTCTTTGGGAAGAAACCTACACTAAGTAAATGCAAAAACTGTACTCAGGGCCTCCCCTGGTGGTGTAGGCGGTTGAGCACAGCGCTGTGAAGCTGTCCACAGCCTCTGCAGCGCCAGTTCGATCCTGGCCGGCCGGCAAGGGTCCCACATGATGCGGCAGACCTCTCCTGTTGCGCGCCTGCTGCTCCCCTCAGCAGCTCCCCTATTTCGTCAGTCTGCCTGTTCTGTTCCCCACTGTCTCTGGTGAATCCTCTTACCCTCCTGTGCATCTGGCCCATATCCCGGTTCTTGCATAAATAAATACATAAATCTTTAACCAAAAAAAAAAAACAAAACAAAACTGTACTCAGTCTACAAGTCACCTAGGGACACACACTATGCACTCCAGCCACAGCTGGGCTCACAACTTTCCACTGAGCCCACCGCTGACACAGTCTCTCCCCGGGGCTCCTGGCGGTGCTACCCTCATGCAGGCTGGCCAGATCAGGTCAGGTCTTTCTCCAGGTGGAGAGTTGGGTTTATCGCAGTACTGAGCAACCATTTACGGTGACTACAACAGTGCCAGTGTTTGTATCAGGTTCCTATTTTTTCTTTAAGAGTGTCACTGGCTGAGTGAGCACTGGGCCAGCCCCACCTAACACAAACCCCAGTTTCCCTGCGTGGTCTACAGAGCAGTCACCGTCAGGAGCACAGCACTGTGTCACAGCAGAACTGACCCACGTGGAGAGTGAGCTACAGGCCACATGCCAGGAAAGAGGCGTACCGGGTGGGTTACCTCATTCAATCTTCAAAACTACCCCATGAGGCCGGTTGCTGGTTCCATTATGCCCCCGTGGAGGAGGTGAGGGGGGAGTTTCTAAGATCACACAGCTAGCAAGTGGCCAGGAGATGGATGCTGGGCCCCAGCAAGCACTGAGGCCCTGGGGCTGGAAGGCCTGAGCTGTGTGTTTCAGGCGCCATGGAGATCTGGGAGCTAGCTACTCTCCCCAAGGGCAGCAGTAGGGGCCTGGACAGAAGTCTACAAGTGAGGAGATGGCTGGGGCCTTGTCTTAGGGCAACCCCCAGCCCACCCTGTGGGCAGTGTGTGACAGCGCCTCTCAGCTCAGCTGCCCCAGAGCTGGAGCCTAGGGGAAGTAAACCTTCTGCCAGGCAGGCGCTGCTGCCCCCAAGAGGGAGTAGCAGCCATTTCAGATAGACAGCCCAGCTCAAGGATTGAGGGATCAGGGTGGTGGGGTGACAAACAGCCTGGAGGAGACAAAGGTTCTGCCTGATCTAAGAAACACTCGACTTCAGAATCTCTGTCACGCTGGACAAGCTACTTGTTGCCTACACTCTGGTCTCAGGTCTGTATAAGGGGCAGGACTAGATGGCAGCTGGGGCACCACACATGAACCAACACTGTGAAGCACCACCTAGGACAGAGACCACAGGCCTTGCACTGACACCAGCTTGGTGCCGCAGGACCCCACCTACCACGTCTACTGTGCTGAACACGTGGCAATAGTGATGGCTGGTCTGCAGGTCCTTGGTGATGTAGGCAAAGGTACAGAGGTCCTCTGGGTCTTGGGCCGCACAGGAAATGTTCCGGATCTCGTGCTCTGCGATGATGTTCTGCCGGGAAAAGCAGGGTCTGGAATCCCAGGTTCCCTGAGGCCTAGCCTCGTCCTTTTGGCCTCACCATCTCTTTTTGACGCAGCCCAGGGCATTAGCCGAACACCGGGCTCCCGTTTGGCTGGCTGGGGTAGTGGGCAGAGTCTAACCTTGGGTCTACATCCTCCACCACAGCAGCTGGGGGAGTACAAGATGCACATCCAACCAGCAGCTCGCTTGTCCCTTCTGCCTGCAGGGCAAGGGTAAGCAGGGAGGGCATCAGGAGAGTGAGGCCCTAAGGGCAGGGCACGGGAGGTGCTTTGCTCACTAAGGAATCACACCACTAGGGGCCTGAGGTGATGGTATCGTGCTGAAGAGAAGCAGCCTGTCACCAGGCCACCAGGGGCGATGCTGGGCTCAGGCTGCGTGGGTGGGAGACAAGCACCTGTTAGGTACTGGGAAGAGGGTGAAAGGAAAGGGGCTGGGGACACACTAGGGAAGACACCCAGCTGGAAGGGATGAGGGACTGAGAGGGGGACCCCTCCCACCAACAGGCCTGTGAGCAGCACACCTTGTTGGAGGCATCGATGAACTTGACACCTTTGTATGTGATGGACAGGATGATGGTGGGGATCTTCTTCATGTGCTCAGTAGATTTCTACAGGACACAAGGGTGGCATCGTGAACACCCCTTGTCGGGGCTAAGTCCCTTGGTTACTAAAGTCATCAGCCTCCCCTTGTCCTCACGGAGGGCAAGGGGCTATAGCTGGTGCCAAATGCTGCCAACTGCTGGTGCCAACTGCAGGCCCGCACCCCCGCACTTCACCTCCCACCCTGACAACCTACCCTCATCTTGGCACAAGCGTCTTGCGTGGATTCTGTCCCCCGCAGGTCTTTGATCAGCATGGAGCCCAGATACTGTGGGAGCGAGCAGTGGACAGGCTTAGGGAGTCCTGTGCTATCATATAGGGGCCACCAAACCAGTAGGGGCCACAGTTTGGTGGCTCTCATTCCCCGTGACTTCCCCCTGACCCAACCCTGCTGGGGAGCCCCGAGGGGCTGCAAGTGTCTGAGGAACAGAGCACAGCAGGTGGCAGAGGCAGGAGGATGGCCCAACTGGGAGGGCAGGGGCAACTACTCACATTGGCTTCATAACCGCAGGATTCGAAAATGAGTTTCTCTGGCTGGTGTTGCCAACTCTGCACAGGAGCGTAAGGGGCAGCCAGGCTGGGGGGCCGAAGGGTCAGCTTGGCCTCACGGGGCTCTTCCTGCAGAACATGTGGGGTCACAGGTCTGCTGGCGCTCTCTGCCTGGCTCCAAAGGCGAGAGACACCAGCCACCCAAGGAGTTCAAGGGGTGCGTGGGGAGGGCAAGGGGTAGACAGGCCTTCAAATGCACCATAGCAGAGGTGAAGCCTACCCAAATCAGAGAAGCAGGGAGCTGTGTCACCCAAGAGCAAGGCTCAGTCTGAGGTGAGTCTTACCAAGACGGGAAATGACCAAAACCAGAAAGGAGCAAACAAGCGTGTGGGGAAGCGTAAGGCATGAAGGATGGGGTGGCAGGAGCCAGCTCCCTGGAAGCCTCGTCTCCCGTCAAGGGCCCTGGATCTGCTCCTGGGCTGGGGAAGTCAGTGGGTGTCCCTGCCAGGTACAGTGACCCTCACACAGGGCGGGGAGAGGGACATCTGGCAGTCTTGTGTGTTAACAGGGCAACATAGGGGACAGGAGGCAGGGCCTGGAGTCTGTGTGGGACAGGAGATGGAATAAACCCAGGGCCCTGAAAGCAATACCCTGAGGGGGTGAATACACCATGGAGCTACCCAATGGCAAGGGGGGGTGAGTAGCCCCTGCAGCTGTGCCACCGCTGGGCTGCAGGAGTGGAGCAGGGCGGAGTCTGACCTGGGCCACAAGGCTGCTGGGCAGGTGGACCGTAAGGATGAACTGAAGAGGGGAGAGAAACAGGTCTGGGGAGAAGCTGGCGTAAGGAAGAAAGGGGGCCAAGAAGTGGCTGAGAGTGGAAGAAACTGAGAGGCGACAGATATAGGGGGGAGAGTGGAAGGCTGCAGTCAGAGGAGACAGTGAGTCTGAACTTCTGAGGTGGGACATCAGGCCCAGAGGCAGCCCCGGCGGTGGCCCAGGAGGCTTGGGCTGGATGCATGACCCAGCTGGGTGGGGAGTGATGGAAGGAGGCTCCTGAGGCCAGCCCAACACTGCCCAGGCACAGGGGCAGCAGTGGGGTGTGGCAGACCCAGTCCTGCCCAAGGAATGAGGGACCCCTGCCGACAGGGGCAATACCCCAAGGGTGTGAATGCACCACCCCACCTGGATTCTGAAGCGCTCTACTCGAGAGGGTGCTGCAGGGTCATGGAGACTGTCGTGCCTCCTCCTGCCCGTGTCCCCATGAGGCAGCAGTAGGTCAGCTGACCGCCCGGTGCAGGAGTCATTCTGGCTCAGAGGGGATGACGTCTGGGAGAGCAGGTCTTGGCACTGCAGCGGGGAGAAATCAGGTGAGACCCAAATCACAGACTATCCCTGGGTTGCAGGCGTCAGCCAGTCCCAGACCACTATGGGCCACCTGGCAGGAGAATCTATGAGGCTGCACAGGCACGGAGTTAAGGTCAAGGAGGTGCTAGACTAACAGTACAGTGGGCCTGAGTCTGTGGAGAAACATCCTGCTGGGCCTAGCTAGGGCTAGCCAAGTCCCTCCTGGAGCCAGGAAGCCCTGACAATCCAGTCCTGCAGGTGAGCCCCTACCAGAAGCACCCCCAGTTCACTGGCATGCCCCTTGGCCTGGAGCCATGTGGGACTGGGAAGTACTTTCAAAGCTATCAAAGGAAAAATCACCTGTTTAGAGTCCATCTTGGGCACCTGGGGCATGTGCCAAATATAAAAAGCTTGTTCTTGAGAACACACACAGTGTTGCCAGTCGGAACCCCAAGACCCCGCCTCACTGAGAGGACCAGTCAGTCCCCTTGATTTACAGATCTGAATGCCAGCTGTGTGTCTGGTTCCCAGAACTAGTCTTGGCCTCAGCTTTCTCACCCCATCTGCTAAAAAAAAGAGGGGAGCTTATAAAATAAAGCCCACTTTGAGGCTGCCATAAATAGGCCAAGGCAGGAGGGCCTTGTTTGCAGCCCTCTGCTCACCACAGGACCCTTCCCCGCCGGTCAGCTGCACACAGCAGGCAGGAGACCGCTCCTCCAGAACTTCGGGCTCGCAGAGGCAAGCCCACTTGTGCAGTCAGGATGACCGGCCTTGAGCCACGAATCACCTAAGAGGTTTTTGAACTCGCAGAGGTTCTCTTACCCACCCTGTCCCCAGGGATTTTGCTTCAGAAGACCTGGGGAGGACCCTGGTCCTGCTGCGTACTCTGAACTCTGTCTTTAGTTCCTTCTACCCCCTCCCAAGAATTCAGCCATCTGTTTAGATATTTCATTACCTCTCCCAACATTTTACTTTCTCCTTAAACTTGACCTTTCATCATAGACCATGTCAAGCGTCTCTGAATGCAGATGGGAGGCATGAAATTGATGAAAAACCAGCCCAAACAACTACCCCATTGTGTTCCTCTCTGTCTGGGCAGAAGAGTGGCAGTGACCCCACCAAATGGAGAGGGGAGGTTTGCTACTCTCCCAGAGGTCACGCTGTCACTGAAGAATTCCTAACAATACAGAAAACACGTGCATATCCTTCCCCGCCTTCCCCAACTCACTCTCAGCTGGGAGAACCTTGGGGGCTTCTGGGGCGGCTCCTCATAGGGCCTGTCTGCTAGGGAGGCGATAATGCGTTTGCGATGGCCGAGCAGGTGAACCTTTAGGACCTGGCAGGGAAGGAGAGAGCATGTAGTGACCAGGCCCACCGCGCCCTCCAACCCCGGCCTGCCTCTCCCAGCCAGCCCACACCACAAAAGGTGCTGCAGGCCCGGAAGGAGCTGCACTCACATTGACGAGTTCCAGTTCCCAGAGGTTCTTCACAGTGTCGATGGAGCTGTAGCCACTTGACAGGAAGGAATGGACGTAGTCCTGCAGTCCCAGGGAGTCCAGCCAGGAGGGCACTGATGGGGGGCTGTTCCCGTCATAGCCCAGAGCCTTCACCTGTGGGGCAGGGAGGCCAGGCTCACATTCTGAAAGTGCTCACAGGGCAAAGAACCCAGGCATCACGGGGACCAGGAGACTGGGGTAGGCAGGGGACAGTTCCTACAAGAGGGGTTCTGTGAGTCTGGGTCCCTGGCACCCCAAGTCCCTTCCTTCACACAGCCCTTTCTATCTGGGCCTAGAGCCCAGTTCCTGTCCAGGTGGTACTAGGGAGATGGCCCTGGCTCCAGTCAACCCCATCTGAGGGGCTGGGACCACCAGAGCACCCCAGATCTGGGGAAGATGGCCCTAGTGGGTAAGACTGGAGAGGGAGAGGGGTTTGCAGAAGGCACCCAATCTGTGCTCTGATGAGATCACAGACCCGGTGGAACAAAAAAAAATGGTGTGTGCCTGTGAAGCATGTGTGTCAGTGTCATTGCTGGAATGTGTTTATGCTGAACTCTGAGTGGCGAGGACAAGGGGACTGGATTCAGTGCCAGTGCAGCTGAGGGGGAGAGGCTTGGGCCACCAGCCGCGGGCTCCCAGGGGTCAATGCAGGCTGGTCCGGTCTCCAATGAGTTGAGAAAGAGACTCCAAAGGGCTCCAGGTGACAGATCTAGGCTGTGGGCACCAGATCCTGTGCTGGGTGGACACCTGGCGCAAGTCCCTCATGGTCCCTAATGCTCTGCCTACTCTGGGCCTCAGGACTTGGTGAGGAGTTAAACAGGAATTGGAGCTGTCTGCTGGGGCTCCCATTGTGAGGGGCAGACACCACAATGATCTGTATGCCTAGAGCCCAGTTCCTGTTCAGGTGGTGCTAGGGAGATGGCCCTGGCTCCAGCGAAGGCCGATACTGCAGGGCTGGTGGTGGTCACCTTAGGCAAGGACCGTGCAGCCTGGAGCAGCTTCCGCCGGTGCTGTGGGTCACTGATGCCGATCTCCCGCAAGTCTTGCTCTTCCATCACATTAGATCCCTGAGAAGAGAAAGGAGAATATGAGGGCCTAGTGACAGGTCAGTCTTTCAAGGCCCAATTCTTCTCTTCACTGCAGGCATCAAGGAGTGGAGACTGGGAGCTCCCCACAGAGGACAGGCCAGGCAGCAGGAGGCTTGTGTCAGCAGAAGACAAGTCTGCCCAGGTTGCCCTCCCCTGCTGAGGGTGCCCAGTAGGCCGGGCAGTGCAAGGGTGGCAGAATGTACGCAGGGTGCTGACTGGGCCAGAACAGATGGAGTGAGGGGAGCACTGTATGCCCGGGGGGCCATAAGACCCAGCCCACCCAGAGTGTTTGTGCATTTCTCTGGAGAGCAGGTTCCATGAAGAACAGCCAAGGTGAAGAACAGGCGGGCTAATCCCCAGGTCCTCAGACATGAGGTTATAATTCTGAGGCTGCACAGCCACCCCAGAAGCAGCGGGCACAGAGGCAAGCACCCCCGCTGCTCAGTGCTCAGCAGGGTGGTGGCCAGGTCGGCTGGTGCTTGTTTACTGATCACAGGGATGGAAAGCTCCTGTGTGAATCATCCTGTCTTATGCTCACAACTCTCATCCTAGGTGCTGTTTTAATCCCAGTTTTCTAGATGAGGTGGAGGCAGACAAAGGTTGCCTAAGGTTACATATGTAGTGGTACAGCAGAGATTTGGGGCAGTCAGACTGCACGCCTCCTTTGAGCTCCGACGAGGTTTCTATCAACATCACGGGATAGGTGTTTTAAGATTACGAAAGATGGTTCTGCCCTGTCCCTCAAACACAGCCCACCAACCCAACCCCCATCATCATTCTCCTGGATGTCCCTCCAGAGCCAGCGGGGCACGCACACATGCATGTGCACACTTCATCTTGCACAAATGTGGCTCTTGTATGCACTGCTGACACCTTATTCTTCCTCTATGCAGATTAGTCCACTCAGTATGCAGACCCGCCTCTTTTATTAAAGCTGCATAATGATCTAGATTATAGACATATGATAATTTATTTAACCAGCTCCCTGGTAAGAGCGACTACTTCCAATTTCTGCTTTGACAAATGTAAAAATTGATGCTGCATGAATTTCCTGTGTGTGTGTCATTTCTAGAATGGTTGCCTGGGGCCAAAGGGTCTGTGTGTTTTGAAGCCTGATAGATCTTTATGTTCCTGTCAATGATGTGTTAGATTCCTTCCACTGTCAACAGCACTTGGAGAAATGGCTTGTCACCAGGCCATTCCATCCTGGCAGGCAACACTATCGCTCCCTGTACACTCAGGGACAGAGGGACAAGGAGACAGCTTCCATGGCTGGGGTGGCGCCAGGATGCACTCAGGGACAGAGGGAGAAGGAGACAGCTTCCATGGCTGGGGTGGCGCCAGGATGCCACCTTCTTGGCCACCCAGCTGGTGGGTGTCTGCCAAGCCCCCAGCGCCCACCTCTCCAATACAACACGCTCAACTCAGCCCTTGCATGAGCAGCCCAGAGCAGGAGGGTGAGGCTCACAAGTGGCCTGGGGTGAAATTCAGTCTGTGGACAGCAGTGAGCCACAAAGGCCTGCTGTCCCTTCCCCCAGCTGCGGGGTGCCCATGGCAGCGTAAGTGAAGCTGTTGCAGGTACTTATTAGAGACAGTTAAATGTCGAGGAAATGTTTGCACGCAATACATTAGTAGCTGTAAAAACCAGGTTAGAAAAATGTATAAATGCTATAATCCAAATTTTGCTAAGATTAAAAAGAGTAAAAGCTTAGAAGAAGAGACCGAAATGGCAGAAATGATCCCAACCTTACTTAAAAAGTATTAACTCACTTAAATACACCAGAATGGTAACTGTTTTGCTTGTCCCTGAGATGAATTTGTAGATGGCTTTTACATTTTCCTTTGTGCTTTATTTTCAAATTTTCCTACAATAAAGTTGTATGACTTTTCTATTAGAAAAACTTTTTTTTTTTTTAAATGTGGGAAAGAAACTGATGCAGGGCCCACTGAAAATCTACAATGTTCTTGAAGGCAGACAGAGTCAGCATTACATTGCACCAGCCAGGGCCTGGGCAAGCTCTGAGGTGGCTCCTCAGCACACAGATTTTGGAGAACCTGGAAGTGCACCCCACATCTGGTCAGGGGTGGAGACCTGGGGCCTCTTGGTCTGAGCTGTTTGTTCATGAGCTTTAGCAGCTGCTCTCCCAGAGCCAGCAAGTCCCTCAAATCAATACAGCAATGGCTGTGGACTGTCAGCCCTCCACTCTCTCAACTGGCTCTTCCCTCATCCTCCCACCTCCCTGCCCTAGACCGAGAAATCTGCTCTGAAGGTCTAAATTCATATTTTCATGACTATCCTGGTTGAACATGCCCTCCTCCCCCACAACACACACACACACCCTTCTTCTAAGCATCTCTTCAAATCCACTGTTCTCTGAGACTGAGCAGGGGCCTGGAAGAGGGCAGGGAAGGGCCATCGGGAGGTTTTCCCCTGGAGTCAAATCAGGCCAGGAAAATAGCTCCGCCCAGGCTTTCTCTGGCCTCTGCTTTTTTATGACTGTGGCAGTAGAACTGACCAATTATCTGAGGAGAGGGAGGTCAGCCTGAATATGGAAATGAGCTGGAAGGACGGGCAGCGTGGAGAGTCTGGAAACCATTTCTGGGAGATGATAAATCTTCAGAGGCAAGTCCAGTCTAGCACTGCTCTGGCTGTCGTCACTCTCCCATCAGAACATACGGGTCTTTGTTTGAGTGAGGTCAGAGCCTAGAGGGGGCAGACATTTGGCCCTTGGCAGGGAAGAGGTGGAGAGCCCAGGTGCCTTGTCTGCTGAGCTTGCTGTTTTTCACAGACTAATGTATTGTGTGCAAACATTTCCCTCTTACATTTCCCTGTCTTTTATGAATACCTGCAGTAGACTCCAGTACATGGCGCCTGGCAAGAGAACCCACAACTGGACACTTGGGCTTTCTTTTCCTGTAGTCCCTAGAACAGGTTACTGGCCTCAGCATCAGCCATGCCAGACATGGTCCTCTGGGCTGTAGGTGGCCGAACAGAGAACGGGTTTCCTGGTGCTCGGTTGGCCCAACCACACACAGGCCCTCAAGGGTAGGCCAGGAGCGAGAGACTTGTGAGCACACCCCCAGCCTGAGAGAGTCTGGGACATACGGGGTTGGCCTAGGGAGAGCAGGAAGGACCCTCCTATTGGGAGAGGCAACAGAAAGGGAGGAGGAGGAGGGACCCGGCAATTTTAACGAGGGACTAGAAACCGCGTTCCTGGAGCATGCAGGGGTTCATCATCCAGGGGTTGGGGTCTTGTGTGTGCCAGTCACTCTGCAAGGTGGTTATGGTATAAAGGGAGAACAGAGTTCAAAACCTGATTTTGCTATTCAGGTTCCTATGACATCAGAACCTTACAAACATTAATACCTCCTCCTACCACTGCAGCCTCACAGGGCTAAATAACACATTCCAGGGACCAGGTGGGCAGTGGCCCCGGTGTCCATCTGTGCTTCCTCTGGGACTCTCCCATGGAACCTCCCAAACTGACACCGTCCCCCAACTCTGGGCTGGCCCTATAAAGAGCTCACTACCCCCAATAGCTCAGCCTCGACCCAGACCCAGTGTTTTCCTAACAACCCCCTATTCTAGCCCAGCCTAAGCCTGTCCTCACCGTGAGAGACACAACTGATGGTGACAGAGAGCATCCAGTTCTAGAGAAGATGCAGAAGAAATATAAATGTTACCAGTTCCTAATTTCTGAAGTCTGAGGCCCCCTCTACCTGCCCGTTACCCCAGAAATTCTTCCCAGTTGAAATTCTTCCCAGTTGAATGGAAACAATGGCCCTTACAATCCTTGTTCTCGCAAGCAAGATCTTGGGGTCCCTATTGTCTCTGTACTGGGAGTAGCATCCTTCCATCAAACTGCTGCCCATCTCCTCCAAACAGCTGCCTATGTGAGGCCTTGTCTGAGATCAAGGTACCATATTCACCCCAAAATTAGCAGTGTGGGTGAAGAACCCCAGAGCCTTGTTCACTGAGCTTGCTGTTTTTTACAGAGTTGGGTAGGCCCAAGTCAGTCTGCAACCAAAGGTTGTTCCAAGACCACCCAGAGCAGGCCTTATTACTTCATGGATCTGCGGACAAAGGCAATCTGCTTCCTGCAGAGAAAGGCGGATGTCCACCTGCCACTGCAGCTGCCACCTCACCTGACATTCTAATAGTTGCCACAGGGAACAATGAGCCCCCTTCCAGGGTTTATATCCCCAGAGTGGGGAGGAAGATGTAGTCAAAAAAGGGCCTATGGGACAAGAGTTTATTGGGGTCTTATTCCTTACCAGCTCCTTTTCCAAACTTTGGAAAAATGGCTCCCAACAAACAGCCTGAGGATGGAATGGTTGGCCTGCCGCAGACTATAACCTGGGAGTGAGGTTCTGGCCTAGCATAAGTGGCCCAAATGCCAGGCCCTGCCCTCAGGAAGAGGCACTGAGCATGAAGCCAGTATAGACCCTCCTGGGACAGGGATGTGTGGGGAGCAGTGTGGGGGGAGAAAGTACCACAGGGGGCATGAGACTTGGCTTCCAGTCACAACTCAGCTGCTCGCATGAGGAGCAACCTTGGGCAACTAACTTATCTGAGTGTCCTGAATCTGGTGTCTGTGGGCCCCTGGGTCCACAGATGGGCTTCAGGGATGCCCATGAATCCCTGAATTATAACTGGTTTGGTGTGCTAGGGAGTCTATGCCTCTGTCCTCCCCCGGGATTCCCACTCTGCACAAAGACATGCCAGATGCCCAGACAGAGCCCACTGCTGCTGCTCATGTGGACATGGTGGCTGCTGGCAGCTGCTGGCAGGACCGTCCACAGTGCAGTTCATCTTAAAGTGCAGTTATGTGAAGACACGAAGATGTGCACTCAAGGGCTCTTAAATTTCCTTCTACTATAAAAGGACTGGGGGAGGCCAAATCTGTATTGGGGACCAAGAGATCTGGAGTCCTGATAACTGCAGTGGTTACCCTGAAAACTCCACATGGTCAGGCAGA